TGTAGCTGAAGGAATTGAGTGGCTTTTTGAGGGGGGGAGGGAGGAGGAAGAAGGCTCAATCAGGCCATGTGCATGAATAAGGTCTGGGGTAGGAATGATTCTCCCTTCCTCCTCCCCCCCCCATACCAATCTTCATTTACTCTTGATGACAGGTATGATGCCTGATCCCAAGAACGTGCACATCATAGTGAGCTGGATGATTGCCCAGTCTGTCACCGCTGTGGCAGGGCTGGTGTCTTACCCTTTTGACACTGTCCGACGTAGGATGATGATGCAATCTGGCCGAAAGGGAGGTAAGAACAGCCTTCACTCAGTGTCATAGCAGCAGAGATCTTATTGGCAGATATTTATAGAAGTATTTTATAGATGCTACAGAAAACCTTCTATAAACTTATTGGAACAAATTTATCACTATTATTGATTTGGTCTTTCAGGTTACGTCTACACTAAAGGCTTCTTGTGGAAGAGTGTCCACACTGCAGAATTGCATTGGAAAAGCAATGCACTTTTGTGCAAGTGTCTAGACTTCATGGACGCTCTCTCAAAGCTCTGATTGCCATTAACAGAATGGCCGCCAAGGCACCTGTGCTTTTGATACAGGGTTTTGTGCAAAAACAGTGTTTTCTGTCCCCACACACCTTTTTGCGCAAGAGCTCTTGCACAAAAAGGCTTATTCCTCATAGAAAGAGGAATATCTATACTGCAAAAACCCCTGTTCTAACAATTTGTGGTACATTTTCTTGCACAACACACTTGAGGCTCTGAATTTTTGCACCAACTCTGCAGTGTAGATGTAGCCTCAGATTGCTATGAAGCACTTTGCTAGAACTGTGTGTGTAGTAAATGTATTTGTAGCTGAAATTCTCTAGGGAGCCTACTTTGATATGACTTGCCTGTATGAGTCAAGAGTTTCTAATGTGCACCTTCTTGTCTCTACAGCTGATATTATGTACAAGGGCACAATTGATTGCTGGAAGAAGATAGCTAAAGATGAAGGAGCCAAAGCTTTCTTCAAAGGCGCCTGGTCCAATGTGTTGAGAGGCATGGGCGGTGCTTTTGTATTAGTATTGTACGATGAGATCAAGAAATTTGTCTAAAGAAATAAAGCTATTCTGTTCAGTCATTTAGAGCAACTGTGTAATGTGGCTTAATGGGCAATAGTATTTCTTCTGGAAATAGAGATGGCTGTCATGAGGCACATCTAGTTCAGAGAAAGATGCATAACTGTGTAATGGTTGTCCAATGGATCAGTTATATTTTGTCTGAAAAGTCCTCACACTTACTGGAGCCATTACGTGATATTTGACACTTATTTATTCCTGTGACTAGAGTACATTTCTTAAAGATTTAGATGCCTACATGCATAACTAGGTTACATTTATAGACTTAGAAAACAGTCAAGGATCTCAAGTACATATTTATGTTGGGTAGACATTGAGTTTAACACCAGGACATTCAAAACACATGGATAAAGGGCATTCTTCCCCTATGAGCCTGCCAGATTGGATGACTGGGGTGGGGGGAGAATGCAACTGCCTTGAGGCCTGGCAGCTCAGAGCCCAGAACTCCCAGCTGCTGCCACCACTGTAGCAGTTGGAGCCCTAGAGCCTTAAATTACTACCAGTACCACATGGTGGCTCCATGGGCTGGCTGGAGAGGGGCAGGGGAGAGAAGATGGGTCACTATGATGTGGGTGGCACTGACCAAGGCCCCACCCCTTTTTGGGAGCAGATTGCTACCCAGCACTCGAGCTTTGACTTCTAAAAAACCTGATTAAAGTAAAACAGCATCTTTACAAATACTTAGATTATCTGTAAGTACCAGGAAATGTTCTCACTACTCTTGCTCTGAATAAGTCCTCCCTGAATGTGGAGTCCAATTCCTCCTAATATTCTAAAACACTAGAAGACTGAAATACTATGTTTAAGACTAAGTGCCAATCTTCTTCCAACAGACATTGATCTTTCTTTTGAGGATTCTTAATGTTCCATTCAACTGAAACTAAATAAACCAGTGTATTAGTCAAATTCACCTCTCCTGTTTCTGATACTGTTTCGAGATTATCCATGTTGTGATAAGTATTCTGTACTTGAGTATGGAGTGATGATAAATGTAACAATGATCTAATACACTGATTACTTGTCCTTTTAAGACTAAGAGCTTATTTTAGTATGGGGAATGAATGATTGACCTAAACACCATAGCAATCATGCTATAGTTTAAGTTCTATAAATTTCTCAGTTACCCTGAAACACAATTCTCAATTATTTTCAACTAATTTTAACACTCCTTCAGGGTAAATGAGAAGTAGTGGAGGAAGAATCTGGCCACTAAGTTATCCCTGAACATATATGTGCTTAATTGCAAGTTATTTACACTTCATATGGTGTATGCCTAATGAGAGAAACTGTTCTGCATTTGGAAAGGACTAGTACCTGAAAACTGTATATGCTTGCACATTCAGGTCATCTAAATGTCCTGTCTGCTATATAGCAAGCTAGTAGTTAGACTTTCAAGATGGAGGCTTTAATTACATAGTACTGTAATACAAAAAGACTGACATACAAATCAAGTACTTTTCACATCTTAACAGCTGGAAGTTAAATACAATGTAATGTGAATTTGAATGTAAGTTCATATAACAGTTGCTTCCACTTGTAACAGGTATGCATGAACTAAGAGTGGGTTATAGTGAAGTGTGTGGTTTTTTTTTTTTGGGGGGGGGGAAATAACCTGGGTTAGTTGGGCATTTCCCTGCTGGAGGTAAACATCAGAGTAGTGGTCTCATTGTGACCTTGAGTAAATCACCTTCCCATTATGCTTCCATAAACCCTAATGAAAAATGGAGGAAAGGCAGATGCTTAGTCACCAACTGCATCTGTGCCAAATGCTCCTGCATATTTGAGTAAGATGTCAAAAATGAATCTGACCTTTCTAATGCTCTACAAATCTTCAGGCTTTTGGTGTATTTTTAAATAGGACTGATAATCCAAATGTCTGTCACTGGACCGGCATGGTGTGGTTTTTTAAATTGTGACCAAAGGTCAGTCTAGTCCAGTTGTCTTCCAACAGTGGCCAATGCCTTTTTCTGTTTGAATAGAAATTTTTTTTTTTGCTGTTCTGCAAAACAGAACTGAACCTCATCTTTCAGTTATCTTAGTTTGTGTGTGATGGCATTTATTTTAAATTCCTGCAAATGTCAGCCACCTTAAACTTTCTTAAAATTCAAAATTAAATACAGCTTTCTTCTTGTTCCCATAGACCTTATCTATAAAGAAAAATTAGTCCTGCACTTCACTACTGCTGCAAATCTGTCCACCATGGCTACTACTAGCCTCTTTAGTTTAGAGCAGACAGAAGTTACAACTAATCATGCCATATCACTTTAGTTCCAAAAGTGGGTGATGCCCAGGAGAACCAGTCACTTCCTAAATCTGGCCTGTGAAGCTAAAAGACCAGAGGGACACTTCCGCTCAATCATGACTAAACCAATCCTGTAGTACCCATTTAAACATCCAAAGGTAGATTGAGCTGTAGCCTTCCCTTTGCCTTCTATTTTCCAGCTATAGCAATAAGGCCTTGATCTAGTGGAGAACCAGCTGGCTCCCTCCTTCTGTTGGGGACTAGTTGCAGTGGTTACACTTATTTTCAAACTTTTCAACTGACAGCTAGAACTGAGGCCACATTATTTAAAATGAAATTCTCCACTGAAACTTCAATTTTGTGAATACAGGACAGCTTTCAAATAACTTGCCTATTTTAATTGGTCAGAGGTTATAAGCCCTACTTGTTTCCCAAAGGGTCAGATCATCTTCAGTTTTTGAAGAAAAGTATGTCTTTATTAGTTGTCAGTGTTCAAAATTTTGGGATAGAGTTGTACAGGCCAAGCCAAAAAATGTTTTGTCTGCTGTTGAATGAGAAATGAACTGTGCATAAAATTCGAGTTTCAGATACTCCACCCTTACAGGAAAAAAAAATCTAAACTTACTACAATACTCACCAGCTACATATAAAAAGGTGTAAAGGAAAAAACTAGTCTGAGACATTTCACCTTTAATAATTTAACATGACAGGAAATGTGTGTTAGTGTTTTAGTCACTATTAGGAGGAATGAAGAAAATTAGAATTCAAGAGGAAAACAGCCTTCTTCCAATAGGAAAATGGAGAAATTTTCTAAGATAAAATGGAAGAGACCAGTAAAAGAGCACTGAAAATAAATTGAAAGTTCAAAGGAGGACTTTACTATAAATACCAAGGAGAGAGGATTTTCTACTAATGACCCAGGACAACAGGTCTGGCTCATAGCTAAACATTTCAAGTAAAAAAAAAAATCCTAACAATCTCAGAAGTCTGAGCAGAACATATAATTTCCTTCATCAAGAAGGAAAGGAGATTTATATGAAGAGGAATTGCTGCCTCCTGAGCAAATCAGGAGGAAAAAGTTTAAGACAAAAAGGGAATTACATTTAAAGCACCTGACAATTATAGACTAACTGCATGCATCTGACGAAGTGGGTCTTTGCCCACGAAAGCTTATGCTCCTACACTTCAGTTAGTCTATAAAGTGCCACAGGACTCCTCGTCGCTTTTGCAGATTCAGACTAACACGGCTACCCCTCTGATACTTGACAAACTATTATGAGTCAGATTTAAAAAACAATCACCCATACATGAGAGAGAATCCCAGAGCTTATGTTGGATGTAAGTCTGCACTCCCCTGCTTCACTAAGTGGTGACAAACAGCCAGTTTCTTCCACCATCCTTTACAGTTGTTGGATAATAAACACAAAATGCTCTAAGCATCTTATGCAATGATGAACACTGATAATTCATCTTAAATATTTTACTTACAATTTACAAAAGGAGTGATACAAAACTAACAAATTCCACATACCAAAGTAAATATTAGCGGGAGGTAGGAGGGGTCAACTAAACTAGGTCCATTTTGTTAGTTTAAGAGAAAATAATTGTTATATGAACACTCAAAAGTGCTTAATATGTGACCTTTGATATTTTAGTTTATTTGGCTCATTCAAAAACACTTTCAATGGTGAATAATTTTTAATCAGCATATTTATACAAATAATTCCAGCAGTACTATCCAAGGAACACATTACAGTCACAAAAAGAACAATTTCAATGATAGTTATTTGCCGTACCACTGTTTAAAGTTAAAAACTACTAATACATTCTCGCGTATATAAAAATTTAATCCACAAAAGTCATCAGATTCAGAGGTGAAGCTGCTTTAACTCATATCGTTCAGTCAAGTTATTAAAGAGGACCAAAGAAACTGGATGATCTTTTGTCAAGTGTAACACATTAAATATTTAGAAACTTATGCCGTTGTGCTAAACACGGGAGGAGAAAATGGATCTGACTTTTGTAGTTGTAGATCTCAATACTATTTAACAAAATGTTTTCTTATTTAACACAAAGATCCCCAGAATTTCTGAAAGAAAGGAGGCAGGACAACAAGCAAAGGTACAACAGTAACTATGGTTAATGGATCATAGTTCATGCTCATCATCAAAGAAAATCCCACAGCCAGTGACCAAAAAGCTTGTTGCAGTAGCTTTCCATTATCACTTCCATAAAATCTTACACTATGTAACTCAAAACTCATGCCATGGTTGGTCTTCACCCACTTAAAAGACCTAGTATAAAACACAACATTAAAATATAAGCTCAAGAAGCACAACTTAAGATGTATCCTTATATTCTACTTTGTCCTCTTTTCTAATTTTGGTTGATAATCTCTCTCAAAACTTGGATGTTATTCTACTGAATTTGTCTTACAGCTCCATGACTGTTCCCACCAGTTAGTGAGGGCAGAGTAGTGTCATCACTAAAGGCAATGGCTATTAACCAAGTTTGAGGAGTAGTTGAATTTTCTGTTTTTATTGGACCTCACATTAGAATTTCACTTCAAATTTATTCTCCTATCGAACACACGTTTCCACCCACCATGGTATGTTTTTTCCTTATGTTCCCTTAAGTCAGGGAAAGACAATTTCACACCAGAATGAACACCGCTTTATTCAGCTAGAATGATCTGCCATAGTTGGAGAACAAGACACTTCCTACAACCTCAATATTTTAGTTCGCTCATATGAAAAGTGCTACTGCTGTGCAACCAGAATGGATATGTTGCAGCACTATAAATTCAGATATTTATATACTTACTGTATCAATAAATAGAACATATAGATCTACATTTTATTGAAAACATTTGCACAAACTGTAGTAAAAAGAAAATGCTGAGCCATTATTGCATGACTTAGAAGTTCTGAAGACCAAACAACCATGAAAAATTAGAACCGTTTATGATCTAAGTACATGCTTGAACGTTTATTGCAATTTAAAAAATTAAACTGTAATTTTTACATCTTGGATCCAAAGCACAGCAATTCCATCCTTCATACGTGTGAACTTCATTTGTGCTTTGTAAATGCAAATCCTTTGCAATTTCAATTTTCCCATCTCTTTGTCAAATACATCCTCACAGGAAACACTGATTCAAGTGAAATTGTCCATTTAAAACCGATTTACAAGAAATTACACCACAATGCACTTTAATCAGCAAACAATGAAGATGACAATACTTTTGCACAGAGATATCTACAAAAGCAAAAGAAATAGAAGTCTGGCGATCAAGTAAGAACTCTGGGCAGAGTACAAGTAACTTATAACCAAGCAGCACGAACATTAGTGGGCTTAGGTCTCCGTAATGCCCCACTAGATGCATCAGAAACTGGTCTCTCAGTCCTACGACTGACTGCACTGGATGTTCTTGAAGCTCCTCCTATTAGAGTACAAGGAAAACATTTATTAACAAATTATTCTGTTATCTTGGATGCTTGGATCAGTAGGAAGTCCTATTGCTTCCTGTCCCCCCATATTAACAAAAATGGCTGTCATTATTCTATAGTTTGGGGGACAATCTAGACCAATGAAGATTGTGTCACTATCTGGTCTGTAAACATGGGTGCCTCACAATGCTTTACTGCTGGAGCTTCCAACCTGGGCTGTTCACAATTAGCCTACCAGCATGCAGGTCACACCCATAGCATCTGTGTGCTAGACAGCCCTGGTTCAGCTGTTCTGACCCAGCAGCCTCTTTACAACCCCAGTCTGACTTCCACTAGCCTTAGGTACAGTCTGCAAAAATAAGACCCCAATGTACTCCCAGTACCAAATTTCCTCAAAACCACGTGCTCTGAAGTGTCCAGCCCTCTCCTGGATAGCTCAGAGAAATAAGATTCTAGGGAGGTGAATGAATAGTCGACTATCCGATAAGCAAATGCTTATAGGACAGTCGATTGGTCGTCTCCCCCACTTGCTGCCTCTATCAGAGGCAGCAAGGGGAGGGGGGAGAAGAAGGGAGGAGCAAAGTGGCAGTGCCACATGGAGCCTGGAGTCAGCTGTTCTGTGTAGTGCTGCCACTTTGAATGCTGTTGGGAGCCCAGCATCAGGCTCCTCACAGGGTTTCAAAGTGGTAATGTCGTATGGAGCCCAGGGTTGGTAGGGGAGTGCCCAGCTGACCCCGGGCTTCGGCGCTTTCGCCTTTGAAGTGTAGCAATAGCCCTAGGACTTCTGATACACTTCAAAGACGGAGGTGCGCTATCAACTAATCGAATAGTCAATGCAAAAATGCATCAATTAGTCAATTACCTGATACTTAACATTCTCAGAAGATTCATTGCTCTTGTGAAGAGACAAAATTACATCACATCTTAACACAATTTGGGCAAATAAACCCTTTCAACACAGCACTGCATTAGTTTATGGTACAAATGAAAAAAGTTAACAAAATATGTGAGATCAAGTAAAAGAAAGAAAGAAAGAAAGAAAGAAAGAGTTGAATAAAATACACTTCTAAAGAATCTAAAACAATCTACCAAGAAGAAGGTGTGACAATTCCCCTCCTCCCCACACCCTTTATGGAATTTGCTTATGAATATGTATAACTTGAAGATGCTTTGGACAAAATACCTCATGTAACTTGTCAATTTTAATGCAGATTGTAACATCTTATTTTGAGGGCATGTATAATTCTTGTACATAAAATTAGATATATGAAGCATGAAATTGTTTATGATTTTGTGTGTGCAAATGAGAGCCATCAATGATGCTCCAGAAGCCTTAATGACTGGGTGACCAGGTTAATGACTTGTGAACAGTTGTTTTTGTCCTCTAAGTAAAAAACAGTGACTGGTCCTAGGAAGACATGTGACCATACCATCTTGTACTGGGATACTAGTTTGACCAGGTATTTTCCATGGAAGGGGGGTGGGAAGGAGGGAGATGTAGAACAAAAGATTCCTGTCCAGGGAAAAGTCTATAAAATGACTGGGTGACCAGGTTAATGACTTGTGAACAGTTGTTTTTGTCCTCTAAGTAAAAAACAGTGACTGGTCCTAGGAAGACATGTGACCATACCATCTTGTACTGGGATACTAGTTTGACCAGGTATTTTCCATGGAAGGGGGGTGGGAAGGAGGGAGATGTAGAACAAAAGATTCCTGTCCAGGGAAAAGTCTATAAAAACAGTGAGAAGCT